CGACGGTGCTTAGAGAAAGGAACCGCCGACGGTTCGTAGCAGCCGACATCGGCGTCGCCGCGCAAGAAAAAGAGATGTAAACAGTCAGTGAGTAGCGAGAACGTGATCAACCGCGGCACCGCTATAGAATATTGTGAAAACCGAGGAATAAATCGTTCGAGGACGACTTGTGCAGCAGCATTCGGTGTCTTTCATCTACGCAGCGACTAGCACGGAACATGGCGCCCAACTAAATCATCACCACACTGAGAGTCGGAGGTTTCTGCATCAAGATGTCAACCCACGATACACCCGACGAAAAATTAGAAGAAGTTTCATCACACCGCCAGTCAACTCCGAAGAAATCGAACAGACCTTGGAGAATCGATATGGCAGAAGCAGTCGATAGAGCCACTGTGATTCGAGACTTGATCGTAAGAGAGGTCAACGAAGTAGTCAGCTACGCACACAAATTACTCGCAGGGCCAGCGAGAGACGTAGAAACACTGCAGGCGACTCTGGATTTCATGACAGATCATCTCAAGAAACTGGACGAGAGCAACGAGAAAGTCTGGCTCACGATCTCAGATATGAAAAAACTCACCGAAGATCGAGCCGCCCAAAACACATTGGCACTCCAGACTAGAATCGTCAAATGCAAGCTGAAGCGAGCGATCGCTGAGGTGGATACACGACGGACGGTCGAGAACAACAATCCGGAGGCGCAACACCAGCCAAGATGTCAGGAGACATTAAAGAACGCACGAACGCTAGAACCATTGAAAATGGATCGTTTCGACGGAAAATTGGAAAATTGGCTCCCATGGTGGTCTCGCTTCACTGAGCGAATCCACAATGACGCCAAACTCAGCGATAGGACGCGATACGATTACCTCCTTCAATATTTGTCGAAAGAGGTTAGGGAAAGGCTCAAGACGATTCCGATAGACGAGGAGTTTTACAAGGCCGCGGTCGACCGATTGAAGGCAGACTTCGGCAATACGGAGAAGCTACGGAACTTCTACACTCAGCAACTGATGAGTATCAAGCCTATCGTCTCTCGATACGATGTCAATAGTATTCGAGAGCTCATCCAGGTCGTACGAATGAGCATGATAGCCCTAGCCAAGATAGGAATGCCACAGGAAGCTATCGCCCCTTTCGTTTTTCCCAGGATCAAAGAGAGCCTACCAATCGAAATATACCTTGAGTTCAAAGCAGCGTCGCGCGCCGACAGATCCGAAAACGAAACTGCATCGTCAATATCGACGATGGCAAGCTGCGAATTATTGGACCGTCTCCTGGACTTCATGGAGAAGTTCGTTACCGACCTCGAGGACATTGAGGAGCGAAAGCTTCAACAAGCACAAAATGCCAACAGCAGGAAGCTAGCTCTAGTACCGACATCGGTCGCCTTGAAGACAGAAGTCAAACCGCTACTAGTAAAGAGGACCGATTCATCTCGGACGAGATTCAAGGCTGACACTGAAAACCCGACACCACAGACGTGTTTTTTCTGTAAATCGAACGAACACCGAACTCAATCGTGTTCAGACGATTCGACCAGTACCCAACAGAAGCGAGAAAGCCTCATCAAAGACAACAGATGTTGCAAATGCTCTAAGAAGGGACATCGCGCCGCAACGTGCCGGAGCATTCCTCTCTGCACCAAGTGCAATCGAAGGGGTCATATGACACCTTTGTGTAGCCCGATGACCGCATTTACGGCGCACTGCAGCAACGAAGAAAAAAGTTCCGAGTCTCATTCATGCAAGGATTACCGAGAATCCAGCGAATACTACATAACGGTGACAGCAGTCGCCATCGGACCCACCGGCAAACGACGACGAGTGCGTATACTTTTCGACTCAGCTTCACAAAGATCCTTTATCCGAAACAAAGTCATCGAACAGCTCGGGTTCAGCATGAAATCACTCGACAAGATCCCAGTCTCACTCAAGATGTTGAATCAAGCCACAGTTCTGACGGAAACAGCCCTAGTAGATTTGAGACTGCAGAATAACGAGGGACATACCACCGAATGGTTCAAATTCTACACCTTAGACCGGATCTGTAGCGATCAGGTCCAGCCCGAAGTAGATCAACGTCTGATGAGACAACTCGCCGGATTAGGCATAAACTTATCGGATGACCACGATCCCAAATCTCCGATAGACATCTTGGTAGGGGCAGACCAACTGGTCAGTGTGCAAACTCATAACGCACATAGGCTTCAGAAGACTTTGGAGGTTGTCGAAACCGCATTCGGATGGGCCTTGTTCGGATCAAGGAAACATTCGCAAATAAGGGAGTTCACAGCAAATCATGTACAAATTTCGTGTCTACAGTGTGCGATTCCGCGAATGGTGCCCATGAATGCAGAAAAGCAGCTCGATCAGCAATTCCGCAGATACGTAGAAGCAGAGGCAATGGCTATCGAAGAGGAGCCTCGGAACAGCGATGACCAGTTCATCGAAGAGTTCATGGAGAAGGTTGAATTCGATGCTGAGGCTCATAGATTCATCGCGGGGCTGCCATTCAAGGAGGGGCTCCGACTCCGGGGTTTGACTCTATCGGGAAACCAAGGAAATCTTCGCCCATGGGTCGTTCAACCTGCGGAAGTGGATGTCGAACTCGCCGGTCCTAATGGCCGTCTTCAGAGAGAATGGAGACGGCGTCGAAAAGTTCGACGTAGCAGACTGGTATAATGTACTGGGCATGCAGTACAATCCGGGAACTGACTCCATGAAGCTCAAGGTGCCGGCCCAAGGCGCGATACCCGAGATCGTCACGAAAAGATCTGTGTTAAGTGCCATCGCTTCAATCTTCGATCGCATGGGCATCGCAGCTCCACTCTTGGTACATGCGAAGCTGCTGATGCAAAAGATGTGGTCTTTAAATCTGGCTTGGGATGATCCAGTGCCGCAGGAGGTCGAGAGAGACTTCAAAACATGGTCTAAGGAACTGAAATACCTGGATTCCATTGTAATCCCACGAAGCTACTGGCAACATGACACTCAGGACTCGAGAGTTTTGCACGTATTCTCTGATGCGTCTCGATATGCATATGGTTTCTGTGCATATATTGTTTCGAGATCGGCTCAGGGTTGTACGAGCTCATTCCTTCTCGCCAAGTCCAGAGTGGCACCACTGAAAAACGCAACGATCCCGCGACTCGAACTCATGGCAATGACTCTGGCGGCCGAGGCTATCGACTATATTCGAACGCACTGCGGTATCGCGTTCGACGAACAACACGTATGGACCGACAACTCGGGAGTATACTTCCAAGTCACTTCGGAGCAACCAGAGAAACTGGCAACATTTGCACGAAATCGTGTTCTCAAGATTAAGCGTCTCACCAACGGCACTGAGATTCATCATGTCCCCGGAGAGCTAAATCCAGCTGATTTGGTGAGCCGCGGCTGCACGTTCAAGGAGTTCAGCGAGAGCATCTGGCTAACAGGGCCAAAGTTCATCACGGAACCAGCGCATAACTGGCCAAGGCTCGCGAAACAAAAACATCTAGTCATCGACGCTCATATGGTCGGAATCGAAGAGACACCGTTCAAAAGCTTCATTGTCACAAGACCAGAACCACCGATACAGGTCAGCGTCAATTTAATCGACAAACCAACAGCCGAGCGTCCTCCAGCGGTAATTCTGCGATTCGACACGTGCAGTCGATGGTCGATCTATCTCCGAGCAATAGTCCGATTTCGGAGGGCGATCGATCATTGGAGACATCGAATCACGAAACGCGAATTGACAATGCCAATACTCCAAGCGGAACTCACGCGTGCTGAGGAGTTTATCGTCTCGCAAGTACAAGCAGAATGCTATGGCAATGAATACCGATGCCTCCTCACAGATTCCGGCCTACCGAGAAAGTCAACATTGAGAGTGTTCAACCCATTTCTCAAGGACAATCTCATCGCCCTCGGGGGAAGATTGGGAGATCATTTAGGTGATCTTCCCAAGAACCCTATAATTCTCCCACCCAAACATCCGGTTACGAAGATGATCCTCAGGTACATCCACGAGCGCAGTTGTCACGCTGGCCCTCGACTAGTCCTCATGACGGCTCGCCAGAAGTATTGGGTCCCGCAGGGCAGACGACTAATCCAGAATTTGATCCACGGCTGCAAGAACTGTAGAGTATTCCATGCAAAACCCGTATCAACGCCCATGGGACCGCCGCCCGACGTCCGAGTGACGAAATCCCACCCGTTTGAACACGTCGGAACAGACGTGATCGGCCCTTTGTTCATCAACGAAGCAAAGGAACAGAAGAAGATATGGATAATCATCTTTACCTGCTGTGCTATGCGGGCCATACATCTAGAAATATTGAACTCACTATCAACAACCGAGTTCATGATGAGCCTTCGCCGCTTCAAGGCACGTCGTGGCTGCCCTAGAACCTTCTACTCGGACAACGCCAAAGCGTTCAAACGAGCAGCGGAAGATCTCAAGGTCTTGGGAGAAATCATGCAGGGAACGACGGTCCGGGAAGCACTCGCCAGAGACGGAATCGAGTGGAAATTCTCAATTGAAAAATCTCCATGGCAGATGGGATTTACGGAGCGCCTTGTCGGGAGCGTCAAGTCAGCACTCAGGAGGGTACTCGGGAAGGCGGTGGTCAACGCACAGGAGATGGCAACCGTGCTGTGCGAAGTCGAGCTAATGGTGAACAAGCGACCACTCTGCGAGGTGCCAGACGCTGAGCATATCGATGTGTTAACGCCATTGCATTTTCTGGTTATCCGCACCGAAGACCCCACCCAGGACTCGGCTGTCCCCGCTAAACTCAAGTCGAGCGATGTATTAAAGCGATGGAGACACAAGAAGACGATTGTCGAGTCCTTGTGGAAACGTTGGGAACACGAGTATTTGTTGCTCCTCCGCAATTTCCATGAGACTTCTCCTCGCGATTTACAAACGCTCAAGGTTGGACAGGTTGTCATTATAAAGGATACCCAGACGCCAAAACTATGTTGGAAGATTGGGCGAGTAGAGAAGTTGAATATCAGTAGGGATAACATTGTCAGATCATGTATGTTGAGGAGGGGGAACGGTAAAAATCTACAGAGACCGTTATCGCTTTTATACCCTCTGGAAATCGAATAATCCATCGAACTGAAGATTGAATAATTACGGCGCATAGAAAAACGTAAAATAATTGTAATGATCTCAATCCCCGCCCCGGAGTGTCGACGGTGCTTAGAGAAAAGGAACCGCCGACGGTTCGTAGCAGCCGACATCGGCGTCGCCGCGCAAGAAAAAAAGAGATGTAAACAGTCAGTGAGTAGCGAGAACGTGATCAACCGCGGCACCGCTATAGAATATTGTGAAAACCGAGGAATAAATCGTTCGAGGACGACTTGTGCAGCAGCATTCGGTGTCTTTCATCTACGCAGCGACTAGCACGGAACAACCTCCAAGAACCCTACGAAGACGAGGAGCTAGGAGCTTCCCTGCCCTCGTATGACCGGGCGAGGGCCACCTTGTATCGAGCGCGCGCGAAGCTCGTCCCGGTCCCACCTCAAAGTCGAGAAGACATAGTGGTGGAGGGGGAATATGCAAGAACTCTCAGTGGGGAAGATTTCCTTTTGTTCGACGATGGTTCCGAGGATCGAATACTCGGCTTCGGCTCCAGGGAGACAATTAGTATCTTGTGTGACTCTCCGGCCGTTTTCATCGACGGCACGTGCAAAGTAGTACCGCGATTGTTCACGCAGTTGTACACTTTGCACTCGTTCTACAAAGGGCAGATGTTCCCCTCGCGTTTTTCCTGCTCCCCGATAAGGGGAAAGAAACCTATTGTAGGATGTTCCGAATGTTGAAGGATCACGCTTCTGCTATAGGGAAAGTTTTCGCTCCTCTGACTTTCCAGCTGGACTTTGAGGTGGCCACTCTTCGCCCCATCCAACACGAGTTCCCATTGTCGGCAATCAAAGGATGTAACTTCCATTTTAATCAGTGTCTCTGGAGGAAGGTGCAATCGTTGGGTCTCGCATCGTTCTACAGCGATCCCCTTGTCAAGAAGCTGATCCGATCTTGTTCGGCTCTCAGCCTGGTACCCTTGGAGAGGATCGATGACGCCTGGTTGGAGATAGATGCGGACTCTCCCCCAGCGGAACACCCGGCGCATGAGCGCGTGGAGGCTTTCAAAACATATGTCATCCAGAATTGGCTCGAAAACGCCTCGGTGTTTCCACGTAGTATGTGGAATCACTTTGGCAATTTTAACGCGCGCACGACGAATCACGTGGAAGACAAGGGGAAAGCGGACAGGCTTCTGCTCCGAGCCGGGCAAGCCCCGCCGAAGCTGTCACCCAAATATAAGACCTTGAACGAGCGTTTGATTCGTCTGACAGACGAACTCGAGACGGGGCGAAAACCCTGATAGAGTACGTCATGAGCGTTGGATTTAATTTAAACTGAAGAAAAAAATGTGGCATTCGAGACGTGACTTGAGCGTCGACTTGTATCAAAAAGCTGTAGACTGTAATCCGAGCGAATAATAAGAAGGGGTATGAGGTCCCTTCCCGCCTCCGTACGTCTGACAGTTTCTTCTTGCTCCTCTCGGCGCCACGAATCCGGGCTCCCACTACCTAATTCTGGCTTCCACAATTCGGGTTTCGACAATTCGGGCTTTCACAACTTCTGGCTCCCACAATTCGGGCTTCCACAAATTCGGGCTTTCACAACTCTGGCTTTCACAATTCTGGCTTCCGCGATTCTGGCTTCTGAGATGGTACCTCTGGATCGCACAGACGACGGCAAAACATTCGGTCTCTGGAGAATGACATCTCGACTCAGCCGAAGTGAGACGCCGACTCGCGTAGGCTACCACGCGCTCTTTGCCGCCCATTTTCATACTAGACATATACACCCACTTTTCGCTCCCATCTCAGATAGCCCTACTCGCATGAAATCTCAGAAAATGCATTTTATGCGGTGAAATTCCAAAACATGCATTTCGAGCCGAAATTGACCCGATCATGCATTTTCATGCAATACATGCATATTGCATGAAAGTTTCAGCTCTAATTATGACCGTAATCATACGCTTGAGCATGATTATGACCGTAATCATACGCTTGAGCATGATTATGACCGTAATCATAATCACACGCGTGATTATGATTATAATCATAGTCATAATCACAGAAATCACCGTAATCACACGCATTCGTATGATTACAATCACAATCATACGTGTGATTATGATTATAATCACAGACATGCGTATGATTATGGCCGTAATCACACGAGTGCGTATGATCATAATCACACGTTTGATTATGACCATAATCATGCGCATGCGCATGATTACGGTGATTTCTGTGATCATAACTATGATTGTAATCATAATCACGCGTGTGATTATGATTTTAATCATGCGAATGCGTGTGATTGCGGTGATTATGACTATGATTATAATCATATTCACACGTGTTCCGGTTCAGAAGGAGGGGAGCTCGGTTGCAGAACAACGGAGGACGGTTCGAGGCGGATACGAGCAAAGCTCTAGAGAACGAGCGAAGGATTCGAGGCAACATGGACAACAAACGCAAAGGCAACCGGACAAGAAAGCTGTTACCCGACGTTCTTTGGCGATATGTCAGGCCTGGCGACGTAGTGATTCCCGGGGCCTGGTTGAAGGGTCTACCCAATCAACAATCCGACACCGCGGTAGCGGCCGAGAGAATCCGAAGGTATCTGTTCTATACCGCTCAGGATGAATTGAGCCTCGAGGCGAAAACCAAAGCGAACACTGACAAACGTGTGAGTTTTCATAAAGAGAGACGCAAGTTCGAGTATTTCTCGGACGATGATACGGAGAAAGTTCCATTCGAGGGAGTAGAGCCGACCGAACGCGTTGTGCGAGCGGAAGAGCCGGTCACCGTGCAACCGAGCTACGAGGTCTGGTCCGAGCACAGACGGACTTCGAAGAGACATACGGGTGCGAGATCGAACTTCGAGATGTCGGAACCGAGCAGGTCAACATCCGCATGGACTTTCCCATGAGTCCACGATTCGAGACAAAGCAAGATCCCGAACTCGAAGAGCCAGTCGAAGAAGAGGAAGTCATCGCGGATTCCGACGAAGAAAAGGACGTCATCGAGAAGCCCGTCGTCGAAGGGGGAGTCGGAAAAGTCATCGACGTTTCAGAGACCATCGACCCGCGCGTGCAGAAGTTCCGAGAAACACGTAGCCCGATCGAAGCGCAACGCTGCACAGGCTGTTTTTTTTACCATACCGGAATAGACGGAGATCACTGTCATTGGGAGCATCACTGAGCATAGAAAACACTCTCGCGCACAGTGAGAACGATCGCGTGGCGCGGGATGAACGAGTTGTGGGGAGAGTCATGACTCATGACGACACTTCCTTGACACAGATCGTCGAACTCGAGATCGATGGACTGGTTCGAAATGATTGAATCTGGAGAGTTGAAACCTTCTGGTGGAACTGAACTGAACGATTGACATCGATTCATTGACCGGAGGTAAGGGGAATGGTATAGCGGAGAGCGTTGAGTACTAGGCATGACGTGAATACTCATTCAGAGAGAGAGAGAATAGCATTCCCGGAAGAAAGACTTTGTTTATGTATTCGAATACAGGTTTTATTCCTGTTCTTCGCAGCCCGCAACCAAGTTATTTATTAGATCGCTGATCAAGGTGCACTTGGCAACCGACGGGATAGGCGAATGTCCGCTCAGGGCGAGACATCTTGCTCTGAGACTGTCTATACAGAGCCACGCCCCCTTGATGCGCCATATCGTGAGAGCACGGTGCTTATCTGGAAAGAGACCTGGTACGGAGGCGGCAGCGTGACTGGTTCCTCGCAGACTGTGGGGAGAAATGATGGATATAGTCCCGGAAAACGAGATGAGATGAACGGCAGCAACGGAAAAAATTAAAGTCCGGACCCACCGTTGAAACGCGAACGACCGAGCGTGATGAACATCATGACCAGGATGACGATCAGTAGTATCTTTAGCTCTTTTCCGGGAGTCGACATGAAGTTGGCACACAGATCGAGCGCAACGGCGATGCCCTGATTATGGATGACATTTGCAGTCATCGGTATGACACGATCCGGAAAACAGCCAGCTGGAGCGGTAGGCGGAGGAACTTGCTTGTTCTCGTCCATTTTGGATGGAGGTTTGATTCTTGGAGTGGATGAAGCCCTTAGGTAGGCCTCAGAAATGGGAGAGGTTTCCGAGGGAAGATCCGAAATTATCATTCAATCAGAAATATCGGAAGCTGTGACAGAAAGTCGCGAACATTTGGTCTGAGGCTGATAATCGGAAATCCCAAGATCTTAATCGCATGTCGGTCTCGGTGGATAATGCCGAGACTGAGGCCTACATTCGCGCACTTCTTTGCTTGATAACTAACAGCACTGAGTGATGGCTTAGATAAGAAAATCTCAAGCAAAGCTTGGAGATTGAGAATCAGCACCATGTCTGGAAGTCGACATACCGTTTCTTCTAGCCTCACGCGGAGATGGCTAAGATAAGTGGAACGGAAGTTTAGCTTAGATAAGCTAAGCGAGTCAGCGTCATGTATGTGAAGACAGCGCCCAAACCATAGGAGTGTTCGTGGAACGAATTTTCATTTTCGTTCATTTCATTCATACGCTTCATTATCAAGTCGTAATGATGATAACAAGGGTAAGTACAGGGAAGGGTTGCCTGAGACTCTCCAAGAAAATAGTTTCTCGATGGTCTTGTTCCTAGCAACACACTTCGGTTGAAGCTTCACCCCAGAGCGGAGGCGTTTAGTGGAGAAGTTGAAAAAGTGATTTAGGGCACCACCAGAGATCAGGCGCCTGAGAGCGCGGGCGTCAGCCGCGGTGTGGAGTTCAGAGAGTGAGGTGACGCTGACGGCGGAGCGGTCAACGCCGCAGCGGTCGGCTACGCGTCTAACGAATCTCCGACGGACAGCCTCAAGTAACTCTACATCACCGACGAGGCAGAAAGTCCAGACGGGGGCGCAGTACAGGAGCAACGGAACGTCAAGTGATCTGTAGAGGTTTTCGTAGTACTCGGGGCGCCGAATGGAGAAACAACGG